CCCCACCTGCCTGTGGCCAGCTCTCTCCCTACCTCCATCCCTTTTCAAGGCTGATGTGGAAAAGGCTGCTCTTTGGAAGGTGTCGGGAGACCTGAACGTGGGGAAGGAGTCCCCCAGGCAGGGCTCCTGGGATCTGCTGCAGCTGTGGCAAGGCCCTGGGGTTGCAGCCAGTGCATGAGAAGAGGGGCCTGCGTCAGTCCCCTGAGGACCCTGCTCTGAGTGTTCTGGGCACAACAGAAACAAACTCTCATTTGGCTGTTACAAGGAAGTCACTCTGCAGCTACCCTTGAGCATCAGATTTTGGCCTCTTTGGCCTTTGGACCCTAAGACTTGCACCAGTGGCCCGCAGAGCCACCTGGGCCTCCAACCTCAGAAGCGGTCTCAGCCTCAGATGGGGCGTCAGCCTTGGAGGCTCCTAAGCCACCAGCCTCAGAAGGGGCTTCAGAGGCTCCTGGACCTCCAGCCACAGAAAGGGCTGCACCCTCACCCTCCCAGGGTCCGAGGTCCTGGCTTCAGGACCGAGTCTCAGCTAGCATCATCTCTGGCCTCCAGCACACCAACAGCATGGTGGGACTTCCCAGCCACTGAGGTCACCTGACCAACTTCCTGCTGAACCCCCTCGTCTATAGGAAGTAGGAAGAGGTGCACCTACCTCGTGCATATAAACACGACTGGTTCTGCTCTCTGGGGCACCAACAGAGCAGCCGAGGCAAGGGGTGGAGTGTGGCTGTCTTTGTGGTCGGTGGAGCTTGCTCGTGGAACTGGGTGCACTGTCCAGGTGTCGGACAAAGGCTGGAGTGGACCGCAGCAGACACCTGGCAACCAGGGCTGAGGTCCCCGTGCTCCACTACTTCCCGCTCTCTGCCGAGATGAGCAGGGCTCCGGCAAGAGGGCGGGGAGCCTGGCTGCCGAGGGTACCTGGGGGCCAAAACTGACTTCTAGAAAGACACGGGGCTCTTGGAGGACTCCAGGAGTGGATGTCTGTACCCAGGCGAGTCACTGCCCATGCCCCAATTGTCCCTTCCCTATTCTTAAATTCGTGGCCTGGGAAGGAGCAGCAGGAGGACGGGAACCCTCCCAAGAGGGTGATGGGTGAGTCCCCTGCATGGCCTCCAGCGGCCTCCAGTGGCCTCCCACTGTGGGTGGGGCCCAGCGGTTGCTGCCTTCTGGACAGGCCTGGCCTCCTCTGGGGCCCTCTCCTCCTCTAGCAGCCTGGAGCTGGGTGAGGTGTGTGTGAAGCCCAGGCTGTAAACTGGTCCCTGAGAGCAGGACTGCTGGAGCACGGGCGGGCGGAGAGGAGGAGGAGCCGGCCTCCAGCCCGACACCGGGGCGCCCAGCTCTGTGCTGCCGCGTGACCTGTGCACCGTAGGAGGTGCTGACGCTGGGACACCCACCCTCCAGCTGCGGCAACCAGACAGGTTCACACAGATGTGCCTGGGGGGGCTCCATCTCCCCAGGCTGAGAGCAGCTGGCCCCTCCCAGGCAGATGGCCCTGACACTCCAAGGGCTCTCTCACCTCAGCTGTTTCCACATGATCCACGTGGCAAGACATGGGCAGCTCTGCCATCCTGCCGCGGGTGGGGAAAGCGGTTTAGATCCGTTGTCATGCACCACTGCCTTCCTCCTCTTCAGGGCTGAGTAACACTCCACTGCAGGCCCACACTCCCTGGCCCGCCCACTCCCTGAGCCTTCCCCTCTAAGTGCAGGACTAGGCCAGGCAGGTGAAGAACCAGCTTGTAGACAGTGCACATTAAACCCTCGCCTCCCTCCCGTAGTCTCTCCAGTGTCTGCCACACCAAAGCCCTCACTGGAGGGCAGGCGGAGGCAGTCCCTGCATAGGCTGCTCTGCTCGGTAGGCAACTTGTCAGTCTAACATCTCGGGAGCGAGCTCCTTCCTCCTGCAGGCCCAGCGTGCCAAGACAGGACACAATCTAGCTGTGGCTTTGTTATAGCAGCAGATGACTGTAGAGGAGCTCAGTGCATCAGCCGGGAATTAGCCACACAGAGGTTAAGTCCACCCATGAGATGCCACGGGCCACTCTGGAGCAACCATAGGTGTGCAGCTAGTTGACAGACACACAGACAGCAGTCAAGGAAGACTAGGTGGATGACAGACACACAGATGACGAGATATTGATAAACAGGCACACAGACCACAGAGGCACACAGATGACGGCCGACAGATGTGCAATGGCAGAAGTAGATGGGGTGTGCTCCCACTTGATCGTGCTTACATCAAGGAGAATGGAGAGAGAGGAATGAGGCCTGTAGGAGCTGGAATGAGATTTTTTTAATATTTATTTTTTAGTTGTAGTTGGACAGGATACCTTTATTTTATTTATTTGTTTTTGTGTGGTGCTGAGGATCAAACCCAGGACCTCACATGTGCTAGGCAAGCGCTCCATTGCTGAGTCACAACCCCAGCCCTGTGAGAGAGATTTTGTAAATAACATTTTCTTCCAAGTATAATTCTTTAAAATAAAAAAAAAAATCTTGTGATTAAACATATCAGTTCTTGACCCAAGCCCTCCTGGTACAGAACCACAGCCTGAATGGCCAGCTGGCCCTGCCAACTGGCGGCCAAACCCAGTGCACAGCATCCCGGAGCCAGGCAGTGAGTGGGTGCTGCACGTGGCTGCTGGGCCCTGCTGCTTGCTGGCTGGGAGAGCTGGGGAGACTGGGCCCCACCTCCTGTACCTCTGAGTCCTTGTCTGTAAAATGGGGCAAGCCCTCCTGCAGCCGGAGACCCCACGAGGCTTCAAAGGAGGCCTGTGAACTGCCCCTGAGACCCAGGGTGGGGCTCTGTCCACAGTACTGAAGGACCTGACCTAGAGGCACCACCGCTGGGGACCTGCTGTCCATCAAGGCAGGAGAGGTGAAATCAGGGGGTCAGAGACTACACCTCCCCACCCACAACCTCCTTGGGATAGGTGGATGAGTAAGTGCACACCGAGACCACAAACACACACTACACATATATGCACAAAGCTGTATGAGACATGTGTACTAAGACACATATGAATGCACACATAAGACACACAAGTACATGTACAGATATACACACCCCGACACGCACACCAAGTGTCCTGACCACACCAGCCCAAGATGCTCTGTGACTGGAGGTTTCATGACAGAACAAGTTCAGAACACGGCTTGCCCACCCTCCACACCCTGTGCCCACCCTGGAGTGCAGAATCCCAAAGCTTTGGGGGATGCCTCTCTACAGATCATCCAGACCATCAAATCTCCATTATCTGCCATGTGCCAGGTGGGCACTGTGTCCAGGCTAGGGACCAACCCAGCACTTGCCGAGGTACTTACGTGCAGGGCGGCTTTCTCCATTAGTATGGCCTGGAACCTGCACTCTCCAGGACACCCTGAAAACAGGGCTATAGGGAATACACAACTCTGGCACTGTTCAGAGCAGGAAGTCCAGTGGAGGACCCCCGCTCTCACACCCAGAAAGCACCCCTCCAGGAAACTGCCGGTTGCTCCTGCCCACCAGGGCCCTCCTCCACGTCCTACCTCCCGTCCGCCTCTTCATCCTCAATTCTTGGCAGCTGTCTCCCCTGGGCCTAGAGGATGAGCTCCACAAGGGCAGACATCGTGACCACCAAGGTCATATTGTTCTCCAAAGAGCTCGTATGTGGCCTCCTCCATCCAGGAGGTGGGTGGTGGGCTCAGGGCGGGGGTGCAGTGGAGGTTGCATAGCCCTACAAACTGCAGCCCAGAGTGGATGGCTTGAGGGATGGGTGTGAAGTCATAAAACGTTATCTCTGCTGCCACCGCAGCTAGGGCTTCGTGAGATTGGAAAGGTGGCCCAACCTGGCATGCCCTCGGCTTGCCCGCCCACACAGTGCCAACCTGTGGTGAGTGCCCGGGAAGGGAAGCACCCCCCTTCTGAGATAGGAGGGCCAGGTCCAGTGCCAAGGACACTTGTCTAAGCCCATGGACCTATCAGCTCACTAACACATCTACTACTAAATGGATCCCTGCATTAGGGAAAGTAAGGTGGGCCCGGAGGATTTGAGACTTGCCATTTGGTTCTACCCATGTCTGGGAGGCACGTGCTTTGGGACCAAGTGCTGGGCTTGGATCCCTTCCCAAAAGAATGCCAGTAAGATAGGCAATCTTTTCCTTTCACAGAGGAGGAAACTGAGGCTCAAGGCTTTGCCTGGTAAGAGGCAGGGTGGAGACTGGCCCTGAATCTTTCCTGGGGAAGGGGCCAGACTTACCACACTGAGCAGGCACCAGAACCCCACTGCTAACCTCCCACTCCTTTCCTCACCTCCAGAAGCACCAAGGTTAGTGCTCAGCAGAGGAACATAAGGGCACAAAGCCCAGTCTTCATAATCCCCATGACTCCCAGCAAACCACCCCCCACCTTTGGTGACCTAAACTTCCAATGAGCTGGGAGGCAACACCAGCCTCCAACACCTGCTCACTCAGGCAGAAGCCCCTCCCTGCCTCCTGCAGTGCAGGGGAGGGAGCCTGCGGCCCACCCCCTCCAAGCACCTCCTGCATTCAAATGGCTGCCTGCCAGCTTGGAAATACCCACTGGTGGGGCGTCACCACACCCCCCTCAAGCCCCTGGGGACAGGGGTCTCTGGCCTGGGGCTGTGACCCAGGTAACTGGAATTGTCATCAGAGGACCCTTCTGACAGGAAGCTACAGTGGTCCTGAGGCACCAGGCGGCAGATACTGTAGCTACCTTTGCAAGAAGTGCCCATGTGACCAACTGGCTGGAGAGGTGTGTGCTGTCTCCAGGGAGCAGAAAGGAAGGACTCCCGGGGTTGGAGAACTGCCCATTACTTCCCCCTGCGGCGCGGCACAGTGCAGTGCCTTCCTCCAGCCAGTGGCAGGGAATCCGCAGCTCCTGAGCAGCACCCGGCAGGAGCACCGGCACAGGCGGGGCTGTCCACTGCGACACCTGGGGTTGCCAGAGCCCTTCAGACTCTTGCCCTTCTTCCTCCCGAACCCAAGAACCACACGGCTACGGGGACAATCGAATAGTGTGATTTATTGCCCTCACACCCCTTCTTCCACCTGCCCACGCCAGGGAACAGACAGCGCACCCCATCCTCTGAAGGGGGCTACCCTGGGTGTCGGGGCTCCTTCTGCTTCACTCCTCTGCTACCCCACACCCAGGAGCAGGAGGAAAACCTGGGCTATAAAATCAATAGGACTCAAAGGGCAGAAAAAATAGTGGATGGGAGGGGGTAAGGGGTATGATTAAAAGAAAACTCTAAGAGGGCAAAGGGCCCCTCTCCCCTCGCCTTTCTGGGACCCTCTAAATACAAAAGGCCAGACTTCCCTCCATCTCTTACAACATCCCAGACAGTGTGGGGAGAGAGGGGCAGCCTCTTGCGTGAGGGTCTGGCCTCTTGACCTCTACAGTTCTCACATTGTCTAGCTCTGGCTCTGGCAGAGAACCTAGAAAGGGCAGGGTTTGGAGAGCCAGCGGGCACCTTGAGAAACCATCTTGCCCTAATGCCCACAGGTCCTCTCGCACCAAGACAGCGCAGGCCGAGTAGCAGGGGCAGGAGACGAGGATGCCACCGGTCGCACCCCTCTGTCCATTTCTCCCTGGCCTCCTGGTTTTGTCGTCCCCGCCAAGCCCGAGGGGCCCTGCTCCCCCCCGGGCGCCCCCGCCCCTACCGGCCCTCCGTGCCACGACACTCGGTGCAGCGCCCGCCGGAGGCTGCGTCCTCGTCCTCATCCTCCCCGCCAGCCCGGTAGAAGCTCTGTCCGCAGCTGCTGCAGACCGAGGGCGCGCCCACAGCGTGGATCTTCTTGTGTCTGCGGAGCGCAGCGCCCTGCACGAAGCCCTCGCCACACTCCACACAGATGTGCGCAGGCTCCTCGCCGCCCGCCGCCCCCAGCCCGTCCCCGTGCTGAGCCCGCTGGTGGGCCAGAAGCCCAGCCCCATGCCCGAAGCCCTTCCCGCACTCCATGCACACATAGGGCTTGGGAGCCGGGGCGCGTCGTGACCGCGGCCCGGACGCCCGTGCCCCTGCGCCGGCCATAGCTGCGGCAGCCGCGGCGCTCTCTCCAGGCGCGCCCACCACAATGATGCCCTCGCCGTCGCCCACCGGGATGGCGATCTCGCCGTCCGCCGCCGCTGCCTCCTCCGGCGCCTTAGCTCGGCGCACACTGGCTGCCAAGACCTTGGCGGCCACACCAGGCCCTGACAGCTCGGGGTGCAGCCGCAGGTGGCGCGCCAAGCTCTTTGGCTGGCTGAAGCCGCGGCCACAGCGCGGACACACAAAGGGCTTGAGGCCGCTATGCGAGCGCCGGTGCTTGGCCAGGCTCTTGCTCTGCGTGAAACTGCGGCCGCAGTCGGGGCAGGCATAGGGCTTCTCGCCGGTGTGGATGCGCTGGTGCTGCATGAGGTTGGAGCTCCAGCTGAAGCGCTTGCCACACTCGGAGCAGGCGTAGGGCTTCTCGCCCGTGTGGATGCGCCGGTGCTGCACCAGGTGCGAGCTCTGCGAGAAGGTCTTGCCGCAGTCGCTGCAGGCGTTGGGCCGCTCGCCGGTGTGCGTGCGCTGGTGCCGTGTCAGCTTGGACCAGTGGCTGAAGCTCTTGCCGCACTCGTTGCAGATGTAGGGGGCGGGCGGCCGTGGCCTAGGTGGGGGCCCCGCCGGGGGTGCAGACTGGGGCGGGGAGAGCTTCGACGGGGGCCAGCTGGGGACGTCGTCATCATCCATGATGAGTATGTCCACTGGAAGACAAGAGAGGTGGGGAGGGAGTCAGAGGCAGCAGCTCCACAGAGGGCTGTCCATGCAGGAACCCTGGCTGAGTGCTGGCCTGGGACAGCTTCTTGATTGCCTTTATGGAGTACACCCTACCACCAGTGGGGACAGCACCCACATCACAGAAAGCAGGTCAGGGTCTGCTGCTCTTCACACCCTCGCCCTGCCCTCTACTCAGGGCACTGACCTCTGGGGGGCATCGGCACCAGTGTTCATCACCCTCTTCCCCAAGGTGTGCTCCTGCAGGCGGTGGCAGCCATGCCTAGGGAGCAGAAGGACCTCCAGGAGGTCGTTAACCGACTACCTAAATGGATGTGCAGGAAGGAGGCCAAGAAAGGCCTCCAGGGAGCACACGGGAAACCCAGAGCACTGAGCTGGGGCAGGGAGGCTGAGGGCCGGAGTCAGGCCAGACCCAGATGCAGCCTGGACCTGTGCGACGGAGGACGCCACCTCCAGCCCACCCCAACAAAGCCTTTCCCGCATTTGCACCATGCCTGCCCAGGCGCCTGTCTCCCAGCCCGTCCCGTTCTTGAGACGTGGGTGCTGTCCACAACACCTGCTCTCCTCATGGGGTCTGCCAGAGCTATAGAATCACACGCCAGGGCCTCAAGAGGTGCACCCCGATTTCCCTCTTGCTAAAGTGCTCAAATACATCTGTGAGACGTCACTGGTGAACACAGGGAGAAGAGCTAGACCCTCCGAGGGCAGAGCTCTGTGTCCTCTGTATGCAAATCGCATAAGATGGCTGCTATGAAACATGAGTCTTTGCGAGTGAGAAACCCAGGCAGGACAAGCTGACGCCTGGCACACCCTGACAGCCACGGCCCGCCCACTCAGCCACCTCCTGCAACAGGCCCTCACTCTTCCAGCAAGGTCCCTGGCCAGCAGCACCAGGACCACCAGGAACTGCAGATGCGGACCCCTGGGCTTCACCCCAGCCCACCCACCAGGGGGTTCTGGTGTCCTCGAGTTTGAGAATTACTATATTGTAAGGCAAAGAACACTAGAGTCACATTGGCAGGGGACAAAATCCAGGCAGGATGTGAGCATCAGGGAGGGACCCTGAAGAGATGGCATGAACCCCAATTTATTGTCAATAAAAATCAAGAAAGAAATTACAGTTTATTAAAAAGAGAATAATTAAAAACAAAAACCTCGGAAGCTCTTAGTCCCAGGCAGAGTGACCGGGCCAAAGGGTAGGAGACCTGCTTTCCCATGAAAACAACAGTTGCCTGGTTTGCAAAGTTGTCAAGAGCATGGGACACAACGTGTGATGCAGAGCGGAGCTGAGAAGGCCAAGCAGGGCACTGGGGGAGGCTGAGGTGCAGGAGTGTGGCCAGAGGTGCTGGAGGAGAGGTTGGTTCTAGCAGCCACCTCCAACACAGCGCTTCTTACTGCCGGATGAGCGACCCTCTCATCCCTCAGGAGGTGGGCTCTTCGTCCCGCCATGCACTGTTTCACACACCAGGCCAGCCCCGAATGGTGCTGCAGGTGGAGGGCAGGCTATTAGGCAGGATGCCACTTGGGTCCTTCAGCCTCCCCATCTCAGGAGGAAGAGGCTACCACGTTCCCAGAATCCCCGCAGTCCCTTAAAAGGACCGGAGAAGCTGGGGATGCAGCCCAGCAGCAGTGTGTGTCAGGTCCTGGGTTCAGTTCCCTAGCACATGCATGTGAGTGCACACGACACAACAAATCCCCAGGAGGAGAGTGGTGCAGAACACAGGTACTTGATGAAAACCAGCAGGAACCAAGGCGACTGAGGCTGGAGCAGGGCCCTGGGTGGAGGGCAGGGTCCCGATACCTTCCTATTGCTGAATGTGCCCATGGATCAATTCAACCCACAGCAGACCAACGTTGTTCTCAGCTTGGGGACAAGGAGTTGAGGGGTCCTTCAGCTCCTCCAGCCCTGGCACACAGCAGGCAGTGTCCCACACCTCAGACCCCCGAAGTGGAGCCCAGCAGCCACAGTTCTGATGTCAGCCTTCTGTGGCACACATGGCAGGCACAAAGAGCTCCAAAACCAAATGCAGAGGTAAAAATCTCAATATAAAGACACACCAGGCCAGGCATCTCCGTCGCCTGCAGGGAGACCCCCGCCACCTCCCAAGCCCAAGCGGATCAGCTCCGGGTACTTCTTCATAGCTCTGCCACCAGGACTGCACTCCGAGGCACTGTGCTCCGGTGTGTCACTCTAAGCTGGCTGGTCCAAAGGACAGCCCGTGTTTCCTCGCAGTGTTCCTGTTGAAGATGGCCACAGGGTCCTCCCAGGCCTCTGCCAGGCAGCTCACTCAGGCACAGCGTGGCGTCGTCCTGCTTTTTCCAGAGGGCTCACAGCATCTCCTTGTGTGTCTCCACATAACGCAGACAGAGTGGACCACAGGTTGAATGGGGTGCACAAAAAAGCGCTCCTGTTGCCCTTTGTGTTGAAGCTGAACTGAATCCTACAGACCCCATACCTGCCCCTCAGCACCCAGTGCAGTCTCGGGAGGTGATGGCAGGTCAAGAGCTCACTGCCCCTCAATGGCAAGGTTTTCAGGAAAAAGCACTGTCGTCTGAAGTCCCCTCTCCCCAGCACCACTGGGGATGAAGGTGGACAGCCGGCAAGCTTGGCAGAAACGCCGTCTGCCCACAGGACCCGTGGCCTTCAGTAGCACCACCTACTTCCACACTCCCTGCCCCAGACCCCCCATCAGCAGTGTCCCCAGAGCCCTGGCCTCTTGTGGTGCGAAATGGCTTTCACAAGCAATATCAGGAAACACTCACTGCTTCTTTTTCAAAGGTCCTCAGGAGCTCACAGTGAAACCCCCCATTCAAATCTGGGACTCCAAGGTTTTAATTTAGCCTCTCACATCTGACACCTGCACCCCACTTCTCCCCGTGAAAACTGGTTCTCAGTGACTCGGCCACGCACCTAAGGGACCCCGCAGCATCTGCTGTCCTCATGCCCTGCACACAACTGTGCCCACCCACCAGGTGTACATGGGGACAGCCTCACCTGCGCAGTCCCGAGGCCTGGCCGATCACCGCCCACAGCTGCTCTGGTCACAGCCGCCGTCTGAGGCTCACTGGTCTGCCATCAGACTCCTTGGGAGGGCGCAGGCACCTGGAGGGGAGTTTGAGCACGAGCTCCTGGGCTCAGGCTCACCTGAGGACTACGCATCTGCCTCTGCCTCTGCCCTGGGCGCTGGACAGCGGTGCTCACCTCTCAAGCCACGTCGTCACGTGCTACTTCTGCTGCAACACCAGAAGGGGCAGGCAGTGGGGGCCCATGCTGCGTGGCCTGCTTGGGGGCCTCGGGGGGATCTTCTGCTTCACTCTCTCGCCCGACATCCTCTGCAGGGCTGCCTCGCGGTGCGTGAGCTTTCCCTGTGCCTGGCTTCAACACGCGTCACTGCTGACCCTCTTCATTTCTCTTCCATTTTACGTCCTCTGTCACCTCAGCTGTTCATAAGGAATCCTGGGCTCTGCAGTTCTGGGGTTCTTCCACGTGCTGTGCATCTTGGCACATCTCAGGGATCCTCACCTTCCTGGGTGTGGTCTTCTGTTTTCCTTTCCAGGGTATCTTTTGGGGGCTGCTCTTAGCATTGTTCTGTGGCTCATGAGGATCCGCGAGGTGGTGAGGCTGACTTCAGCTGCCTGCACCCCCTGCTCACGATGGCCACACGCTCGCCCCCACGCGGGGCTCTATTGGCTGCTCCCATTTTCATTGGGACCCTCTCTCCTTCTCTGTTGGCAAGGACAGGGGCCCAGCAGGCTTCCTGTTGGTTCTGGCTGATCCAAGAGCCCCAGGCCCGGGCTGCTCCAGCCCTTCAGACCTCCCTTGCCTGGACACAGCAGCCCCTCCTTCAGCTGCCAATCTCCAAGCCCCCCCATGCTTTCCAGTGAAAGCCTGAAGGCAACCGCCCCGCCTCCATCTTCCCAGCACCCTCGCTGCAGTCCACAGGGGCTTGGGCCTCTCGTTGGCAGTGTGCTGGGCTTGACTATCCAACTGCTAAGTTCCTGCCTGGGAGCCTGAGGATTGTCCAGGGCCGCACAGCAGCTGAGAAAGCTCCCTCAGAATCAGAACGTCTCCTCAGGACGTCATGTGGGCTGCTTCTCCTTTCACACCCTGAAGCTAAGGCCCTGGAGGGCTTGGGGCTCTCCCCACCCACCACTGCTCACTGCATACTGAGAACCCCAAGTCGGGACCAAGCCATCAGGAGACTAGTGCCCAAGAGGCAGACGGGGCTCACCTCCACACCCTGTCACGGCTTCTGTTGCCTCACCTGCGCGGACAGGAAGGATGGGACTGATCAGCAGGAAGCCCAACCTCATTGGGCTCTGTGTGGGCTCCAGGAGACGCCCCACCTCAAGAGAACTAGTGGGGACAGGTGAACGAAGTGCCGTTCTCAGTGAAGGACTGGCTTGGAGGACCTGAGCACACTTCTCAGAAACATTCGAATACAGAACACGATGATAAAGCCTCCAGTTGCACCGAAACCCTGGCAAACCGATGAGCCCAAAGATGGCCCCCTCGGCTCTCCTCTGCATCCCCCCTCACTGGGCTCCAGTGGAGAGGCAGGCACCAGGCAGCTCAGCACCCTCCCTCAGAGCGCATGCTCCAGCACAGGCCTGGCCACAGTGCCAGCAGCAGGTCACTGCGCTGGGTGGCCAGTGGCAGGACAGAGGGCAGGAGAAGCACGGGGGAGCAGCAGTGAGTGCTTCCAGACGTCAGGATTTGTGCCCCACTCTCCCTCCAGCCCCATGTAAGCAGGCACAGGGCCACGTCCTGGGTGCAGACGCAGGCCCCAAATGAGCCAGCTGAGCCTCAGGCTATGTGAGCAGTGCTGCCCGGGCACAGAGGACGCCAAACCTGGGGCGAGGCCGCCTGTTGCCACTGCGCCTCTTCCCAGGGCCTTCTCATCCCTGGGCTGTAGTCATGGCAACAGAGGGAGTGAGTGTGTGGTGGGCTGCGTCTCAAACACACCCTGGACTGTGCAGCCTACAGATGCGTTTTATTCACTCAAATACTTTATTAAACAAAATACATTGCCAACACGCAAAGATTTCATGGTGACACCCATCAAGTCCCCTGAAACACAGGCACCCACCCTCCAGGCCGGTCACTGCTGCCTTCCAGGCCCTGCACTTGGGTTGGCCACCCCTGGTCTGAGGAGCAGCCTGCCAGGGAGCAAGGGCCACCGGGAACCAGAGGCCAGAGGAAGAGCAGGGGTACCCTCAGCAAGGGACAGGGTGCTGCCCCAAGCTGCAGGCACCGGAGAAGAAATCAGACAGAGGTGGTCCCCAAGGCCTCAGGACAGTTCCAACTGCAAGGACAACTGGAAACACCAACAGGAGCCCCTCCAAGCTAGGATGCAGAGTCCTGGGGAGGAGAGGAAGGGTGGGAAACCAGGCGTGCCAGAGTCACAGCAGGGGGAAGAGCGTCCCCCGCTGGCGGGAGGGCAGCGGAGCTGGCTTAGTGGAACCTACAGGGCCACCTCACCTGGGTTCTCGTGACTGGCCATCTGCTGGTCCTCAGAATCCAGCGGCCCCGGAGACCAGGCCTCTTCCCGAAGCTCCATGTCTACGTCCCTGTAGGAAGTGGATGAGACAGAAGGACACAGTTTACAGGGCACCAGATGGAACTGAGGGCCCTGGGGTCAGGCACTGCACCAACAGCTCAGCAGACAACGCCCCCCGACTCGCCTCTCACAGGGAGTGGAGGGAAGGCCTGGGGTAGCCACTCAGGCCACAGCCACACCAGCCTCCTGCCCAGCGCCACCTATGGCTGGGACACAGTGTACAGTGCTGCCTCTGTGCCTCAGTTTCCTCATAGGCAAGATGAAGGACCTCAGGTGCAAACAGGATGATGCAAACACCACCCCACCATTTTGGGGTGGTGCAAACACCACCCCAAAATGAAGCACTCTTGCCATGGAGGGACTCCTGAGCCACAGAGGTCCTTGTGCCTACGACAGGTCACCTACCAGCACAGGAGGACTGGACAGCAGCAAGTGCACTTGCCTGCCCTGAGGCCTTCCTATATCCCAACCACACGAAGTCCTCAAGCCAGACACAGTGGGCAGGTTCCTGACGCCAGTCCACCAGCACACTGGAAGAGAGTAACTGGACCTCGAGGGTATCTGCTCAGACGGCAGCCAGACAAACCTGGCATTCAGGTGTAGAGGAATCTCCAGTGACCACATGGCATCAAGGAATGGCAGAGCCAGCAGGCAGCTTCCAGATGCTAGGACTTCACAAACAAGGAAGTTCCAGTAGAATTTGGGGAGGGGAACTGACACAGTGCTGCCAGCTTCAACAGCCAAAACAGAGCAGTAAGAGGGAATTGCAAACATAAAGAACTCCTGCCTCCTGTACAGGCACTGCTGACTGGCTCTCAAGTCCCCAGCACCTGCAGGAGGCAAAGCTGTCACAACTCCAGACCCTCAAGACAAGAGCCATGCACGGGTCTTGCAGGCAGGCAGCAGAAGGGCCAGCCAGCTCCGGGCCTCGGGAGCAGCCTCAGCGGCACAGCCATCTCCCATCAGCCCAGCCAGCCCAAACCCCTCAACGCTCCGAGACACCGTCTCCAGAGAGCCTGGCACTGCCGGCCCTCCTTCGGAAGGCCCTAGCTCCCTCGCCTCTTGCTAGTCAGACTGCACGCCCCTGCCCACTGGCAGCACTGACCCTGCACCCCTGCAGCGCCAGGCATGGGGGCGCTCTTGGGAGTGTGGACCAAGACTTGAGGGAGCAGCCTGCTGAGACAGAGCCTGCCCACCCCACGTGCAGGACCTCCCCACCCGGCTCAGGCAGAACTTGCAGCAGGAACACACTGGGGACAGACACCAACAGCCCGGCAGCTTGTACAGCACGCAGGCCCCTGACCAGGTGATCACCTCTCCAGAAGCCACTCAGAAGGGAAAACCAAAACCTCAGCAGACGCTTTTTATGAGGGAAAAAAAGATCGTGGCAGAGTTTAGCACCAGAAAACCAGCAAGGTCACACATGCCCAACAATGGAAGAAAGTGTCAGAGATCATACTGGCCTGCTCCACAGAAGGTGGGCTGGCCCCAATGATAGCAGGGTGCCACCAACAGGGACCACCTGCTCATCACATGAGGATTGATTCTAACTTCCTTCTGACTATTTTTCTGATTTAATAGTAAAATATAATTACTTCTTCTTCTTCTTCTTTTTTTTTTTAGTTCTCGGCAGACACAACATCTTTTGTTTTTGTATGTGGTGCTGAGGATCGAACCCGGGTCGATCCATGCCAGGCAAGCGCGCTACCGCTTGAGCCACATCCCCAGCCCATAATTACTTCTTAATAAGAGAAAAAGTCTAAAGATTGATTTTTTTTGACAGCTGTGAGAACTGTATCAAATGGGCAAGTGGTGGGCACAAGGGCAGAGTGGGGGGCAGCAGAAGTGCCCGGGATACGCCCAGCCAGGGCTGACCTCAACCATAGAGGCAGCGGTGACTCCCTTTCTGCCTGAAAGCAGGGGAGAAACTCCCACATGCGATGTGCTCTGCTCCTTGTGCCGGGCAGCAGGACGACTTATCGCAAGGTGGGAGCCAAGGCCACAGCCTTCTGCACAAACAAGCCCTGCTGAAGCTCGGATTCCCCTCGGCCCCAGCCACACGGCCACCCTCCTGGCGGCCCCCAGCCTTGGGCCTCACTGTCCCAGGACGCCTCCAGCACACAGGCAAGGTTAAGGCACATGCTTTTCTCCTGGTCATCTGTCTCATGTCAGCCTCTCTCAGGCCCAGAGGCCCTGCGAGAGGAATTTCTGCTTCCCCTGCAAACACACAAAACTGGCCGTTGTGGTGGTGCACGCCTGTAATCCCAGCACCTGGGAGGCTGAGACAGGAGGATTGCAAATTCAAAGCCAGCCTCAGCAACGGGTGAGGCACTAAGCAACTCTGTGAGACACTGTATCTAAATAAAATATAAAACAGGGTGGGGATGTGGTTCAGTGGTCAAGTGTCCCCGAGTTCAACCCCTGGTACCCGCCCCTCCCCCAAAAAGACACAAAACTGCAGCCTACACAATACATCATCAACCTCCAAACACCACAGGAGCCAGGCACAGTGACCAGACCTGTAACCTCAGTGACTCGGGAAGCTGAGGCAGAGGATCACAAGTTCAGGACAGGCTCAGCAACTTAGCAAGACCCTGTCCCAAAATAAAATTTTAAAAAGGACTGAGGATGTAGCTCAGTGCTAGAGTACCACTGGAACAATCCCCAATACCAAAATTTTTCTTTAAATATCAGGCAGAGCCTGGCACACTGCAAGGGACGAAGAGTAGTGCCCAGCTTTGGGAAACAGCCTGGCAACTCTTCCAGTGACAAACGCACTGACTACAGACCCTCAAGTCCACTGCTGGGCCCATACCCAACAGAAGAAAACACTCATGTCGGCCACAAGTGCCACAGGTGGTGTCCATGGCAAGTTGTTCCCAATGGGCAAAAAGTTGGACCAATCCAAACGCCAAGGCAAGGGCACAAGGCACAAGGCACACATGGCGGGGACTCCCTGTGCAGGCTGTCTGCGCCAGGAAAGACACAGTGGCTGCTGGAGGTCAAGGCAAGAACAGGAGTGAATGCTGAGTGGTGGGGGCTCCAGGAAGGTGAGGAGACACTCTGGAACTAGACAGTGGCGCTGCCTAAGCACTCCGTGAACGAGATCACCAACTGTACACTGCAGAAGAGCGCCTCGGTGCACAGGTACCTCTAGTAAAAAGTGAACTCTAGAACAGCGCCCCGCCCACTGACTACAACACCACAAACATTGTTTAAAAAAGCATGGGAAGAGAACAGGAGAGACGGGAGGCTGCTGCCAGGGGCCGCCAGGGCCAGGGGAGGGCCAAGCCTCATGGCCTCTGCTGTTTGAGCCTCCTCTGCCAAGTGCGATAATGTTTCCCTGAAACGAAAGCCTAAGCTCAAGAGGCACAGGGACTTCCCAGCTCAGAGCCCTCCCTGGCCCCAGTCTCAGGCCCAGCTTCTGCAGGGAGGGGCAGCCCAGGGCAATGAGGCCACAGGCATCAGGGCCAGGAAGAGAGCGGGCCTGGCCGCTGAGAGGTGGAGGGGTTGACCCTAAGCTCTCTGCAGGAGTCTGAGGTCAACAAACTCCTCCCACCTGCCAATGGTCATTGTCACATTTTAAGACTTATCTAATTACCTACATGAATGACAGAGGCAACTTGCCTCCTGGTCCACAAACCCTAAAATACTTGAGAAGTGGCCCGTTACAGAAGTTCACTGACTCCTGATGTGAACGATGGGAAGCTCTCAAGGCCCAGCAAAGAGGAACCCGGGGGAGCCTGAGGATGGGAAGAGGGAGGAAACAGGAACAGGGCAGGCAGGAGGGAGGCTCCAGCTTGACCTCAGTGTTGTGTGGCTGCTGACCCAAAGTTCCTGATGATTTTGTCTGTGGATCCAAGGTTCATAAATGAGGGCTGGTGGGCGGGCTCACAGGTGACAAACCACATAATAACCCGGCAGACCTAGAGCAGCCTGGGCAGGAGGGAGGCCTTCCTCCGGCTACTCTGCACAGCCCGAATCGCCACTGTGCACCAGGGCCCTGCAGCGGGCGTGGCAGAAGGAGCGCATGGGCACTGAGCTGGAGCACAGGCATCTGGCGGTCAGCTGCAGGAGCGGGGCTCTTTACCAAGGCTTAGGTGCTGCTTGCCCCTGACCTCTCCCAGTCGGTGGCTGCTGAGAGCGGCTGGACAGCATCCCTGGGGGGCAGATGTGCATAAACAAGCTGAGTGCAGGCACCCTCTCTAGTCCCTCTGCAGCAGTGCTCTTTGACCTTGAGCAAGGTTCTGCTTCTTCAGGCCTCAACAGCATCCTCCGTAGGATGGGGACAAGGAACAGCAGATGACTGGTACCACTGTGTAAGAATCAATCGGCAAGGCTGGCAAAAAGCCTAAGAAGGGTAGCTGAAATGCCACGCAGTCCTCCTCCTCTCCATTCACCTTCCCTCACACCCTCACCTGGGTGCTGGCCCTCCTCCCTAAACCTCTGAGCTCTGGGGCCCACCCCTAGGACCTCACAGTGTGGGGAGTGGGGCTTCATCTGCAGGGTCAAAGATGACGAGCTGGGGACCTCGGGCAGCTCCTGACTCCACTTTCAGGGCCCAGGGCAACTCCCTGGAGAAGGTCCCTCACCTGCTCTCAAGAAAATCCTAGGCATGAGGCCCTGGTCTGATCCCCAGCACCACACACTAGAAAAGAAGAGCACTGCAGGCAATTCAAGGAACCCCGAAGCAAGAAGGCAGCAGCCTGAATCAGCCTACCCGGGCCATCCCTGCCTGTCCTGCCACTCCACCCAGGGCCCTCTCCGTGCAGGTGCTCACCCTGCTCTGACCTCCACCTCCAGAGGAAGGAGGGGAGGGCATCTCCTGCGCCCACCCCAGTCGGGCCCTCCAGCAGTCCAATTAGCACGCGGATCTGGCAGGGCTATTAAGCCCCAGACAAATTATTGTTATTATTGTTGTTAAGAGGTCCCACCCACCCCGCTGGATGCCTGCCCGCCAATTATCCCCTTTCTTCTACTGCCAATCCAGCCTCCTCCTCCCCTCCCCTCCCCGACACTGGGGCTGTGGGCAGGGTCAGAAGCAACCCCTCCCAGCAAGGCCAAACCAGGCTGCTCCCAGCAGAGGCTCTAGACCCCCTCTCCCACCCACCTGCATCCCCACACACTGGCTAAGCCTTGGAGGGGGGACTGTACCTCCTTTTCATCTCCTGGGCAGCCCTTGACCACCTGCACTCCTCCCACTTAGCAACTCAGTTAAGAAACACCCTCTGACTTTTCAATCACCCAATGCTGCAGCCACCCTTCAACATGAACCTTCTGACATTGCTGTGGCACCACCAAAGGCATGGGCACAGGCACCTCCTGTTTCCTTCACCAGCACAGGCTTCTCTACCCACCCTTCCCACTGCCAGCTCCTGCCCCCCCCCTACCACAGTGCAGGCTCCCAGCCTGCCCTTCTCCAGTCCCCTCCCACATCACAATCAGTGAACCCTCGTAAAAAGTCACTCTGTTGAAATAACCCTGTTAAAAACTGGGCACCTGGGCTGGTTCCATGACTTAGCTATTGGTGAACTGTGCTGCTACGAGATTGGGTTAAAGAAATATGATATTTATACCTAATAAACTTTTACTGTCATAAAGAATAAAATTATGGCATTTGCTGGTAAATGGATGGAAATGGAGACCATCTTACCAAGTGAAATAAGCCAGACTCAGAGAGTCGAGGGTCAGAATGTTTTCTCTCACATGCAGAAGCTAGAGTAAAGTAAGGGGGGAAAGTTGGGGTAGGGGAGGAAATGCCATGATTCTAGGAGACCCAAAGGGAGATCAGTGAGCAGAGGAAGGAGACTGAGGTGGAGGGAGGAGGGACGGGAAAAGGGAGGAGCCATGGAATCGGATGGGCAAACCACACTATGTACACACATAAATACATCACGGTGAATTCCACCTCTGTGTACATCCATAAAATGCCAATTTTTAAAAACAATAGAAGGAAGACAAGAGTGGAGGAAGAGGATCAGGGGGCAGGGGAGGGAGGGAAGAGGAAGCCCTGGAGAATGAGTGGAGCGAACAGTATTCCCTGCACGTGGGAGGTGGTCAATGTGAACCCCACCATGGAGCATAATAAGACACCTAATTAGGAACACTAGGCAAAGGCGCTGAACAAGCATTTTTCCAAAGAATACAGACAAGTGGTGACAAGCTCGGAGAACTGCCCCAGGCCATCAGCTCTCAGGGAGACCGAAGGAAGCCTAAGGAGATGGCACCTGGCACTTCTCACCCCTGGAACATGGGCTCGGGGCTGCTGGGGGGACTGGAAGCCTCTCCTGGGCAGGCTAGCGCACCGCAGTGGGATATGGGCAGCCCTCACAGGCCAGCACCTCCACTCCTGAGCGCACACACAAGAACACAGCCACCCAGAACCCCTGACGTGAATGTCCACAAAAACAACACTCTCTACAGCCGGAGCGGAGGTACCCACCGCCCAGCTGACACACACCCTACAGAGGAGCCCTGCAAACTCAGGGCTCAGAGTGTGCCAGGCAGAGGGCACTGCCTGCCTCTAAGTGTGCATGATGTCCAGATGTCCGTGGAGAAAGACAGTGGACTGACAGCTCCGGGCCAGGCAGGTAGACAGGATGGCCACTCAGAGGGCAGCTTCTCTTGGGGAGGAGCACGGTGTTCTAAAATCGACCATGGCAATGGATGCACAACTCCGGAAAGCACACCTTAAATGGGTGAGCTGTGGCATGGGGGACCTTACCTTAACAAAGCCACGACGACAAGAAAAAGCAGCGCAGCTCAGTGCTCCCTGCCCACGCGCCCACCACTGGCCCAAGGAGCACTGTGAAACCGATTCCTCCACAGGGCCCCGTCTCCCCTGCAGCGGCGTCTTCCTCCAGACCTGGATTCCCTGTGCACTGCCACCTCTCCTGGCCACACCTAGCATTTCTCTCTGGAGAGCCCTGCCCAATCCTCCACCTGCCAGCCCATTCCCCCTTTTAAGGGTGGGCTCAAGGGTCCCCTTCTCCTTCCACCTCTCATCATCCTTTCTTGGTTCCTGCAGTGCTGGGGATTGGACCCAGGGCACCATGCGCAGCAGGCAGGTGCTCCACCACTGGCCACCTCCCACCCTCTAGTCACCTTGTCTATTCCTTCCTGGCCACAAGTTTCCTGAGGGCAAGCTCTAGGTGTGCCTCCCCCTTTCTCCTGCACCCGCAGTCCCAGACCCACAGATCCATGACCTCAGTGGACCTCTCCATCCCACCGCCCCCACCTCTTCCTGGGCCCAACAGAACCACCACTGCTTCCCCACCACCTCCTTCCCCCATCCTCAGCTCGTGCCAGTCCTAGAACCCATTCTCCTCCCTCCCTGCTCCCCGATCCCAGGACTACATCTGCACAAGGCCAAAGCCAGGCCCGCAGCACGTCAGCCTGGGGCAAGGCCTGACCATCGACTCTGACGCATGTCAGGCTCTCACTCCTGTTTGGGGGCGAGCCCCAGATTCCCGCATCTCATCTGGAGCCACTTCTGATAGACCACATTCTCTGAGAACACTATCTGCGCTTCAGTCCACTTGAGGCTGCATTTAAAGGTGGCTGGGAGCACCACAGGGCACCTGCTCCCCCTCTCCCAGTCTTCTTCCCACTCAAGGTCAGATGCTGGGCACCTCTGCTGCCTCAGCAGACCAGTGCCCAGCCCCCCTGGTTCCCCACACATGACTGAGCATGTGGATGGCCTGGAGTCACACCCGCCTTCTCCACAAGACATTTCTAGAACCCTCACCTACTGTGAAGCTGCAGTGCAGCTGGAGTGGCAGGAGCTCAGGTCCCTGGGGAGCAACCCTGCTCCTCCCTGGCCACGGGCTGCCCTCTGTGCATGCTGATCTTCAGGTCCACTCCCAACACTCAGATTCTCAAATGCTGGCAGAGAACTGAAACCTGCTAAAACCCAACAGATTACCCTTCAGAACGTACATTATGGACTCTGGTGGTAACAGGTGACGCAAGTTCATCAGGGTTAACAAACTTGGCCATGGTGAGGGCGGAAAGATAGGGACACACAGGAGCCCTGCAAATTCTACTCAGTTCTGTTGCAAACCTAAAACTGCTCTTAAAAATTAACATACATGCCAGACGTGATGGCGCACACCTGTGATCCCAACTACTCAGGAGGCTGAGGCAGGAGGATAGAAAGTTCAAGGCCAGCCTCAGCAACTTGGTGAGGTTCTAGTGACTTAGCAAGACCCTGTCTCAAAATTAAAAATAAGAAGGGGCTAGAGGGTATAGCTCAGTAGTTAAGTGCCCCTGGGTTCAATCTATAGTGCCCCTTTAAAAAAAAGAAAAGCATATTAAAAGATAGGCAAGAACAAGCACAGACCAGCCCCCAGCTGGGCACTTTCTGGTTGGGCGTACACCCTCCCATCCTCCTTCCAGCAGCACATACTTGCCCCTAGCTCACTCGCCTCTCTAGCTTGCTCTCTGCTGAGGCAGTGTGCCCAATCATCAATGGCCCCTGCCTGGAAGCTCTCCGACTGCCCCTTCCCCCAGCTTCACTGTCCTCTTTACCCCGGAGCAACAGAGCACATTCATGGAGCATAGATCAAGCCCCAGACCCGCAGGCACAGAGTGCCGTAAGCACATAAGCTCCACTCCTGATGCCCTAACACCTAGGAGAGATGGCGAGGCGCAAGAACAATCTCTCCAGGCAGGCTGGTGGGTCAGCAAGCAGCCCCACCAGAACAGCCAGTGACCTGGGCAAGGTGCTTTGCCTGTGTGTCCATCCTACGCTCCCAGGGCCAGGATTGGGATCCAACAGGATAACGCACACTGAGAGTTCGACTAGCAGCAGCAGACAAGGTGTCAACACCATCACTGCCATTTGATCCAGAGGTTGAGACAGGCTGTGTGGCTGGTGCGATGCCAGAGCCACAGAGCCCAAGCCGAGACATACAGTGTGCGGTCTCTCGGTGCTGGCATTGGCTCCCTGTCAGCGCCTGCTAACATGGTGAGACCTATGTTCCCTAGGAAAGACGGCTACCTAACCTCCGTGGCTCCTGCCACTTGTTTGGCAAGTCCCAAACAGCGTCCAGCAGAGTATGTCCTCAAGGAGGGCACAGACTACTCGCAGCACTGCCCAGCACAAACCCTACAGCACCCTCAGCAATCACTCTGAGCAGCCTGACCCTGAGCACTGAGTCTGAGACTTCATCTGATCTTCCCTGGGCTCCTAGTATCATCTACTGCAAGGCCAGGCATCTTGGGGGAGGTTGGACATGGCTCCCCCCTCAGCACAGGATAGAGAAGCCACTGTCTGCAAGCTCACAGGGAGAGGGCAAAGGGTATGGCAAAGGCAAGTGTGGAAACCACTGGGGAGGGCCCCAGGGCCTGGCCCACCTGGGCCAGGGCTCAAGCTGATTGGCTCCTCCATAGCAGTAAGGCACGTGCTCTCTGAGCTCCTAGGACAGGGCCACCAGCACTGGCAGTGTGACAACCCCAATTCCCCCATCCACTTGGCTGGCATGAATCTTTCCCTATGCTGCAGGACCCCTAAAATGGGAGGCTGGTTCTCAAGGAGTCCCTTGAAGCAGCCAGCAGCCCTGCATGGAGTTCTCATGACAGTGCACCCCACAGAATGGGGAAGCCAGAGACCACAACTCTACAACTAAGAGGCTTCAGATCTGGTTCATCTCTTCTGACTCCGCTATTAGCCAAAAGAATCAAGCCAACAGAGGGGTGGTATAACAAAGGGCAGCTCTGTAACTAAACACAGCACAGTGTTCTGATGGTGCTGTGGGTCCTGGAGCTTGTGAGCACTGACCGGCCTCCATTCAATCCTGCTAAATGGGGTAACCACCTCTGCCCCAGGGCCTTGAAGAACTCAGGGCAACACCAGACACTAAATGCATGGCAAGTGTCATCAAGTCTGCAGACCTCTAAATACCAAGGCCCAATACTGGCATGACCTCAGCTCCAGAGGACAACTAACCCAGGTTTACGGAGGCCTATGAGGTGTGTCTGGGTACAGTCCTAAGAGCTGGGTGTCCATCAGTGACTAGAAGACCCTGGGGCAGCTGCACAGTTGCTATGGCCTTGACTACGCATCCTGCCATCCCCCTGAGGTCCCTGGGTCCTCTTGGCTATTGCCTACTCTATCTACCCTAGATGTGCTGCTGGCCCTGCACATTCACCTGACAACCCTCTGGGTCCCTGGGGCCACTCTGGCAAATTGCCCCATCTCTCTACAGCCACTGGGCCTGGCTCAAGAGGCACTGGGACCCTCCTCTGCCACCCAGTCTGGGGCCCCACAGCACAGCAATACACTGGAACCACCTGTGTCTTCGTCCTTGATGGACTATTTATTAAGGGAATTTCACCAGGCTCTTCACATTGCAGGAGGGAAGAAGAAACAGTCCGGGAAAGAGGAAGTAACACATCCAAGGTCACAGAACTGGACTAGACTGGGCCAGAATGGGAACTCAATGCCTGGCTCTAGAGCCCTTTCCAGAGCTTTACACTGACCTCTTGAATTCTGCCCTGGCTCTTAAAGGGAAGTATCAAGAGCCTTCTACTGAGGCTAACGTTGTCCTTATCAACCAGGGCTGTCCAGGAAGAAAAGGAGTGTAATTTCCTGTCTCGGGCCATAGAAGGAAGGAGGGCTGGCTGAAGGACTGGCGCCCCAGAGTTCTTGGGGAATACTCCTGGCCGGCCAGCGCCTCTCTTCATTCTGGCATTGCGCCATGTGCCAGGCAGGATAAGCCCTTCCCATTCCTCAGCTCAGCTCGGAAGGTTCGGACCTGCGGCACCACAAGTAGTTGTCTGACGGGATGTTCTCTGGGCAGAGGCAAGGGGTCTAAACTGAGCCCAAGAGGCCAGGGTCTGCCAAGGCGCCAGGACACTGTGCTGGCCCAGCACCGAGGCCAGACCTCAACTGGCTCCTCTGCACTGCCCAACAGGAGCCTGGAACCAGAAAACCACAGGGAAAAAAACAAGTCGCTGCCCTCCTGAGGC